CTGTGTTCCACCGCTGTAATGCATTGTCATGTGGATGATATTTTGTATCCAATGCATGCACATGTGCCTTATAAATAGACAGATGACTTGGTACCTTTTGTGTGTTTGATTTGCCATTTGTTTTTAGAAAATTTTAATTTCACAAGGATTTTCATTTTATGCTAATATATATTAATAACATTATCTATTTTCTTATTGTTTTGGGTTTTTAGTACATATAAACACAGATGTTCTATAAAAGTTTTCATCCAGAATTTCTTGAATTATTTCTGTCAGGTTACCCTATTTTATTCTTCTATGACACTGTCACTGAAAAGCTTTTACACTGCATAGACAGTGCCTACCTGGGTTCATCTTGTTCCTATCAGCTCTCATTGACACTTGGTCACTACCCACTGAAGCTTCGAGAGAGCAACTGACTAGCCCAACTGACTAGTGAGTTAGTCAAACCCTGCCATGCCCATAAATCTATTTATATTTAGAAATTTCTAAATATATTGTAGCTTCAAATTAACCAACCCTAGCCCAGTGCTCCCATGCTCAGTTTTCTCTGCTAGCTGGTAAGAAAGAGCCCATCCTGTTCTCCATGGCCCTCTTTGGGCCTTGGGCTTTTCCCAATGAAACTGCAGGAGAATGCATGACTATATATTTTGGTTATCCAGATCCCAAGTCAAAAGTCACAGAATAATAGAATGATTAAGAAACAAAATTTATCTTTTGTTATCTACACAAAACTCATCTCACCTTCAAGAATAGATGTTACCTTAAGGTTAAGTGATAGAAAAAATGTTTTCAGTGACAAGCAAGTGTAGAAGTTGTAATAACTGACAAAGTAGGCTTCAGATTAAAATTAATCAGAAGAGATAAATTAGGACACTTCATTCTGATCTAGGGAAAAATTGAAGACAATACAATCATAAACATATATGCACCAACCTCTGGTATACCCTATTTCTTAAAAGCAGTACTACTAGACTTTAAGACACAGATTAACTCCAACTTAGAATTAGTAGGTGACATCAATACACCACTATCTCCAATAGATGTGACATCTGGACAAAGAATAAACAGAGGGACAATTGAAATAAATGATATTACTTATCAAATGGACCTAACAGACATCTGGAGAAAATTGTACCCAAGCACCAAAGAATAAATGTTCTACTCAGCAGCATGTGGAAGTTTCCCTAAAACTGACCACATACTGGGGCACAAAACAAACCTCAAGAAATGTAAAAATATGTCTTGCTGTTACATCAGGATATATACTCACATCTAAGAACTTGGATCTAAGATCCACAAATAAGAGAGAACATACATTGCTTGTGTTTCTGAGTCTGTGGTGCTTCATATAGTATATCAGTTTCTAATTCAATCCATTTACCTGAAGAATCTCATGATTTTGTTTTTCTTTACCAGTGAGTAAAAGTCCATTGTGTAAATGTACCACACTTTCATTATCTATTCATCAGTTGAGTGACATTTAGGTTGCTTCCGTGGATCATAGAGGTTTATTTTTGCCATATTTTTAGACCAACCTAATATCTTACTGTATTTGAAATGTGCAGTCTTGTGTTTACTGACAAAAATATTTCCCACCACTTGTCAAAGAAGATTATTTTTACAACAGAGACTCATATTGAGTTACACTACTGGTCAAAGGCAGAGAATGTGTCTGTGAGATGCTTAGCCCTAAAAGACAGCCCTTCAGTCTCTACATATAAAATCAATGTATTTCTCAAGTTTCATCAGAGAAGTTTCCTGATGCAGCAGATGGTGATTAACGTGGAAACCCACAACTGGACAGTGTGCAGAGAAAAAGAGACTACAGAGTGCTTATCCCTGATTAGGATACCTATTTCAAACTTCTGCCTCCCAAGTCTCAGAGAATTGCAGAAGAGGGAGTGGGAATATTGTGGTGTATATCCACAAGGAAATAGCTTTCCAGCCAACTGGTCAGTTATTCACACGAATGCATAGCAATGGTGAAAGCATGCACAAATTCAATGCAAGTTCAAACAAGACAAAATCCCAGCATAGACACAGGGAAATGGGTAGGAAATCCCAACCCAATCTCAAAAACTTTTCGCGACTGATGGTTTCTGGGAGGAAGAGAGACTCTTGTTTAGACAGGCCCCAGTGGATGGACCCAAACTAAAAGACATTTGGGGATGTAAATCAGACTCTATTAGCCATATTATATGAGTACTTTAAATTGAGAGGATGGGGGTAGTAAAGGGAGGTGCAGATACAAAAGCTGACCTCAATACCACCAAATTATATTATATGAAAATTGCAAAAATTAAATTAAGTAAACTCAATCCTGAGATCATCTGATCATTTCACAGTGCTCTGGAAAAATACTAAAATTCATGGGGCAAATTTTTCAGAGTTTAATGTATGGTTTTCTTAGTGAGTAATATATTCAGGAACATTTCATAAATGTGTGGGCAGTTTCAGTTGTGAACTTGACCCACCTGGGTAGAGTGAATGAACTTCAACTGAGCAGTTTTCTTGTTGCATTGGCCTGTGGCATGTTTGTGAGGCATTTTTTGATTTTTGAGTGATGTTGGAAGGCCGAGTCCACTGTGGGTTGGTGGTCCTAGGTTTTATAAGAAGAGAGGCTGAGCACAAGCCAAGGGAGCTAGCCAGTAAGCAGCATTCTTCCACGGTCTGTGCTTCAGCTCCTGCTTTCAGGTACCTACCCTGACTTCCCTCAATGATGAACGATGAGCTGGAAGATGAAAGACAAAATTATCACTTTCTTTTCTCAACCCTCATAAAAAGAAGTATGCTTATCATGGGGAGGTATTAAATCTTATTAACTTCCATAGAAACTGAGTGAATGCAGCAATCCTATAAGCCTGCTTTGGAAATTTTTAAATATATTGTAGCTTCAAATTAAGATTTTAGTGGTGTTGTAGATGTATTTGATAATAGGTGGTAGTTGAAGTGATTACGAGTCGATGCATTACTTCTTTTCTAAATAAGAGAAGAAAACAAAAATGAAAATTAAATGATATGAATATATGAAGATTTTTTTCTGCCATCTATTCAACAAAAAATTAAATAGAATGAGTAATAAAACTACTTTAAAAATAAAAACGATGTTTTATATTCTTGTCTCTTTCTCGTGTGTTTGTGTGTGTGTGTGTGTGTGTAACTATAATAATTAAAGATGTCACAAAGCTAAGAGAGAGTTTGGGAGACATGGAGGGGAGGAGAGGGCAAGTGTTCTGGAAATTATATAAATACAGTAGTCACCTATAAAGCTTTCAAAATAATTCAAAAATTAAAAAGCACGTATTTGTGCTTATTTAAATTGTGGTGTCATTCTGCCACCTAGTGGATATTTTGATTTAACCACATGTAAGCAGAAATTAAAAACTCACAGCTACTGTATTGGAGATAAAGTATGTGCAATAATTGGCATATATGAAAAGAATTTCAGACAATTATAAAATATGATGCAGTTTGGTAATATTTATTAAGATTAGTATTAACATTTGGTTTTAATTATATCTAAAATGTGTTTCAAAAACTACAAACCTTTTATATTATTTCACATGAATCGAAAGACAATATTTGACTGAATTTAGAACATTTCAATTTGACTTATTTACTTCAAACACTATTATTTATGTTTCTTTATAAAACACCAGCAAAATTTTCAAAACGTTTTTATTCATTTGATCATTAAAAATATTAATATATTTCAAATGGCATGATAATACAGTTTTGCATACTGTAAATGTAGAATGAAAAATGAGATTTATATATCCTTGTGAATATTTACACATTGGTAACATATTCAGATATGTCTCAGTCTTTCTCATATTTATCCACATGTAAAGCTCTCTACCGTCTGTCAATCCAACGTTGCCTATTGATACCTAAATTGATGCTGGTTTTAAGCTTTCTACTTCAAACATCAGGCATAAAGATGAGACAGGGGCACCACTAGTACAAATGTCATCTTTCTAAGGAATGAATGCAGAAGAAGCCTCTAGCAACCAGGTAACTTTCTCATAAGTATTATAAGCTTGGAAACTAATTCACAGAATACCCCAATCATAATAATTACAAGAAGTGACATAAAATGTTAACAGAATTTTCACACAATTTTAAAAGTTTATTTAAATGAATTGTGGTAACTATACAATTCTATGTGCAGATTATCCTTTTTCTTGCCAGAAATGGCTACATTAAAAATTCTCAACTATTTATATCCAGTAAGCATGTCTTATTAGGACTGCAATTTTATTTACTTTCATGGTCGCTGATATGATTATTTTTAGTCATTATTGTTATACATATATTAAGTTTTTCATAACTTGGTTTTCATTTCTATCAATTACATTTTAATTTTTAAAAATACAAATTGTCCTTAACATCAATTTATCACTTTAACACATTTCAGTGTATAATATGGTGGCATTATGTGCATTCACATTTTTTGTATGGCTTTAACTACTGTCTCCAAAACATTTTCAACATTACGTATGTATTAAATAATGTAATTATTAATAAATACCTCTCCCATTCAGTTCCAGGTAAGCAGTATTCTATCTTTTTTCTTCACGAATTTCATTCTGACAAGCATCAAATACATGAGGCATCCTACAGTATTTCATTTATCCTCATGTCATAGTTCATCCTTGTTCAAAGATGTACATCTGTAGATGGGTGAATACTTATTTCCATCTTTGCCCTACTGTAAATAGAGGCAATCTGCAAGCAAGTATGTGATTCTGGTTTAATTTATCTGGTATATACTGGAGGTAGAATTGTTGAATCATATGGAATTCCCACATGAATTAGTTGAGGAACAACCATGCATTTTCCATAAGTGTTACCATTTTGGGTCACCTCCCATAATACTCAAATGGTTTATACTTTCATACCCTGATAATCATTTTCCCAAATTTCCTGCCTTTCTATCTTCCAATCTTCCTTTTCTTTCTACTTCTTTCTTTTCCTCCATCTCTATCTCTGTTTTAATGCCACCTCTCCTAAAAAATGTGGTGATAGCTTGTGTGTTATTTTGTTGCTGGTGGTGATGGTGGTGGTGATTGGTTCATTCATTTAGTTTATTTAGTTGTATTACTGACCTCAGAAACAAGTATAATCTGGGCCTGGTGGTGCATGTCTTTAATCTGAGCACTCAGGAGGCAGAAACAGGACAATCTCTGTGAGACGGAGATTAGTTTGCTCTATGTTACAAATTCCACTAGCTCTATATAACAAGTTCCAGACTATGGGGAAACTCTCAAAAAAAGAACAAACAAAATTAAAATAAAATTCAATAAAAATAAACTAAATAAATTAACAAAAGAAAAGAAAAATTGAGACAAGAATGTGAGACCTTCTTTACAGAATACTGCATATTAAATTAAATCACAACGGTATAAGCATCATGCAAGTTCCACAATGTATTCATGTGAGTAAACGAGTTACTCTCACCGTGGTTTTCATTGTCAACTCCCTCATGATTAGCATTCTGAAGCTTCTTTTCAGTTATTTATTTCCCATTTCTATATTTTCTGAAGTCATTAAACTATGGCTCTGGACATATTTTAAACATTAGTTATTATATTACTACTTTAATTTTTTATTTTAGAAGATTTCTTATATAAGAACAGTATTTACAATATTTTCAGACCTCTCCTCCCA